TTTTTCCCCCCTTTTTTTTTTCCCCTTTTTCCCCCCTTTTTTATTCTCTTTTCCGGAGTTTTCTTCAACCTCAATTTCTATCCCCATGGATTTTTTTTCCCCTTTGTTCCCCGGCGGTTCCTGAGCTCTCGGGAGGAACTCTGCTGATTGTCCCGGGGCTGAATAAAGCCCTTGTGTGGCCAGGTGGGATAAAAAACCCTCTCCCCCCTCCTGGTTTCTCATGGATAAACGACACCCTTTGGGCAGGGATTGAAATCCCCGGCACAGGCACCTCTCTGTCTCTTATGTAACGTGAGAGACAGAGCCTTAAACCCATGGAATCCAACCTGGGAGAGCCTTGGGAGGCTTGACTCCGGGACAGGGCTCTTCCATCCTCTCCTTTCTGGAGCCTCCCTTGGAATTTCCTGGGATTCCAGGGAAAAATAAAACCCCAAAACCATGTCTGAAAACTCCACTGGAGGATCTTCCAGGACCGAACCGGGTACGTGGGGGCTGCTTTTGGAGGTGGAGCTTCCCGGCAGCTTCTGGGAAGGAATTTCAGGGGGTGGAAAAGGCAAAATCCAAGGGGGGAAAAAGACTTTTTCCGGGAGAAATAATCTTAATTCAAGTGGGAGGAAACCACCCAGGAGCTGTGTTTTTACGACGGGGGGTTTTTATCCGCCCAGCACTTTTGTTTTGCCCTTTAAATTAAATTTATTCCCGGCCATGAAAGGCTCTTTTTGGGGGTTCTGAGTGTGGGGTTTGTGTGGGGCAGGACAGGGAGACAATTAAGAGATAATTAGGAGATAATTAATGCTGGGTTTTTTGAGTTAAAGGAGGGTTTAACAACCCCGACCCCAGCCTTGAAACCAGGTGGTTTTGCAGGAACCCCCAGGGGCATTTCCCAGTTAATTGGCATCCTGGAATCCCGGTTTATTCAGCTCCTGAAATCCAGTTTATTCACCTGCTGTCGTGGTTGGGATGCTCAGGGCACAGGTTGGGATGTTCCAGGGATAGTTTGGAGGGGCTCCCTTTTCCCAGGACGAGCTGTGAGTAGCCAGAAGGTCGTTTTGCAGCCTAACCAGAATTATACAGGGTGGGACGTGGAATTTGGGAATTCTGCTCGCTCCGAGCGCGTTGGGAAGAGACCTCGGCCTCCAGAGTTCCTCCTCCTTGCTTCCACAAGCTGTTGCTGTGGGAATTCTGTGCAGGAATGTGGCTGGGAGCCCTTCCCCCTCTCCCCTGGGCCAAGGGGGCACTCAGCAGATGGTTTTAGGGGATTTACACTCGTTTAACTGAGTGGATTTGCTAAAAATCCCCCTGCTCCCTTGTTATCCATTGTTATCCATTGTTATCCCTCTGGGAACAGCTGGAGAAGGGACCAGGATCTTCCCTCTCTGACTCCAATTCCCAAAGGATAAAGCTTCCCTTGCTCCCCAGGAGAGGCTCTTTCACATCAAGATCTTCCTGCTGATAATTTTCCCTCCAACAAGTTTCTCCCCCTTCCCGGTGTTTCTGCACCCCCAAGATCCAGGTGGGATCAAACTTCCGTCCCTCCCTTGGCTCTGGGAATTCTGCCCCTCTGTTTTCTTGCTCCTGAAAGCTCTGCCTCCAGGATTAAGATCCAATTAGCCCAGTTTCTTGTGTCAATTATCCCCTAAGATCCAATTAGTCCGGTTTCTCGTGTCAATTATCCGTCCCCGGAGAGATTCCCCCCCGGCAGCAAATCCGTAGGAATTGGAGTTGAATCGTCAGATAAACCATGAAAAACTTGGGAGGTTTTAATGGTGAAGATCAAACTTCCATTTTTAGTTTATTTCTTGAAATGCCCCTGCTGTAATTCCCACTAATTAACAACTCAGGTAAATGAACCTTTGGGTTTCAGGGGCTTGGTGGCCCCGGGGGGCCCCAAATCCAGCGGGATTTTGGGAAAACACGAACCCTGAGCTGATTCCAAGCACAAAAGTGATCCATGTTTGAGCCTAAAAGCAACTAAACCTGCCTCCTCCACTTGAATCCTGGCTGGAAAGGGTCCCTCTTTATAGCTGGTGGTGATTAAACCCTCTCTTTATAACTGGTATTAATTAAACCCTGTCTTTATAATTGGTATTAATTAAACCCTGTCTT